CTCTCATATTTCCTAATCAATTTGAACTACCCTAAAATTATTTTTTATCTGCTCAAAGTTTCAGAATTTCTTCAACGAAAAAAAAATATGTATTAATAAAAAGCGCAGAAGATTGATTTCCATAACAACACTAGAGGGCGCTGTGGCACTGCCAGGAAATCGGAGGGGCCAGCGAAGGAGAAAAGTTCTCCAGAGGAAGACGCAGGGAGAGGAAGGCTGAGAAATCTGCTTGCTGCCTCACTCCTCTGAGAGTGTGGGGACAGAGCTGTCCTCTGTTTCTCTCCCTGCAGGTAGCCTCAGCCCAGGCCCCAGCTGCAGGTCAGATGCCCCTAGTAGAGCACCTCTCATGCAGACCTTGCCCGAGGGCTGCAGTAGGCTGCCGCTCCCCTGCAAAGCCCACTTGCTTCTGCCCATAGTCTAAGTGCCCAGGGGTTCCTGCCTGGGCTTTCAAATATGCTGTGCCCTCCAGTTAAATTCATTTTATTATGTACTTGGCACTTCATAGGCTATTTCTGATATCTACGATAATTCTGTAGGATAAATATTCCGTTTTATAGAAAAGCAAACAGAGGTTCTGGAGGGCTAGGCCAGATAGCTGGTATGTGGTGGAGGATAAATTCAAACCAGAGTCCCCACTCTGAGTCCATCTTTACCACAATCTGTTTTCTCACCTCTCAGGCCTCAATGTCTCCCAGGGAAACAACTACTGAATCTTAAAAAGTTAATGGGTCCAGAGATAGCCTGTCACATTGGAGATAAAATAGGAGAACAGAGTTTGAACCACAGTTGGGCCACTTACTGTTATATGTGATCTGGACCAAGTTGTTCTCTGACTCTTAGTGTGATCATGTATAGAATAGGGGTAGTCAAGAAGGTAAATGAAATCATGCATATGAAAATGTGTAAATGGTTAAGGCACTATACAAATAGAAACTCATAGTTACAATTATTTTTTTTTATTTGATTCTGTGGTTGATGTTATTAGTTGCCATTATTAATGGTGGAGGAAGCCTAGACCATCCATCATTCCTGCCCCTCAGAAAGAAATGTTAATTCACCAAAAGGTGCAAGGTAAGAAGAAAATGAGGATGGACAACTGACAGAGGAGGAGGAGAGAGTGTGAAAAGTGCTACTCAAATTCTGTGGGATAGGCGGGCTCCCCACAGGCAGAGACATCCAGGGCTTACCACTAATCAGGAGGAATTAAGGCAGAAATAGACATTATGTCAGAATTTCAATGAACTTGCAATTGGGAAATTGAGGAGAAAAACCTCTTCCCCTAATAAAGTTATCTAATAATATGTAATTTCTTTTACAGCCAGAGCCAATTTAATGCAGTTAAAACTAGCCCTTATGCAAAAAGCAGTTACAATAAACATAAAATTTTAATGAAGATGCTAGCATTTCAAACCTCTGACCCCCAGGCTCTGAAAGCTTTCTCCAGTCTTAAGACATTCAGGGCATATGTTCCAAAATTGTCAATTCCCTCCTCCTGGCCTGCATTCATGATAACGTCATAAAGTGCTGCAGAATCTTCTCTTCTGTGGTACAGCTCCCAACCCAGCTCACCTGAAATAAATCCACAGGTGCCACACCAGAGTAAGAACAATGATCACTAGGTCTAACGTGCATTAGCTAAACCACATAGAAGCAGGAGAAATTCCACTTATGCAACATAGACATTGTCCATTTTTAAAAGACCAGTTCATAAAAAGTTGCAATCACAGATGCATTTCTGTCCAATCCTGACTCCCACACAGAGGGTATGTAGGACACCTCTTTGCAGGACACAGAAAGACTGTAACGCAAGAGTTAATCTCCAGCCTTGACCCCAACTTCATAATGAAGCTTGACTATTTTCAGGGACAATGATGTTAGGTAAATAATTACCATGGCATAGTTTATCAACATAAGGTGTACAAAGTTTAGATAACCCCAATCCCAACCCCTGCCTAAGAATCACAAAGTTTAAAAATATAGTCAACTGAGAATTATTCAAATTGCCTTCATGTGGGACAGCCATAGTCTCTGACTCCCCTACTCTCCATTTCTTCCCTATTTGGTCATTTCATTCACCATTAGAGCTGTAGGCAGAAATCAAAAGAAATGAAACCAACCCAAGCAGTCCTACTTATTTTTTATTCTGGTCACCAATATGTCACGGTTGGGTAGAAGAAGGGCAGGGGACAGGTAGAGTGGAAGCCCAGGGAAGAGCTTTGGTCTTTAATACTATGTGTTCTTCTTGTTCCCCAAGGTCAAGGGTTCATGGTGATGTGTTTTTATGTGATGCCACCAGAATAGGAGCAACATGTAATTGAGCAATTACTTCCTTGGGCAGGAAGTACTCCTCCTATGAAGGGACAAGAAGGTCTACAGGAAGCTGGAAGTGAGCCCAGAGCACCACTGGGGAACTGAAGTGCATTCGTTCTTTTCTGTATCAAATACCTACTATGAGCAAGGTTAGGTGCTAGTTGAAGACTTCCTAGTGAACTTACAGTCTGGAAGGAAAATGGATCACTGGCAATGCTCTAGGAGAGGTGCTTGATACATTCGTGATGGTCTCTGTGGGAAATTCTATTTCCAGGAGACCAGCTCGAATGTTCTCAGATAGAGTCTACTGGCCTGAGTGTGCCACCTCTTCCAACAGCCACCCTCTTCCTACTTTCTTATCTGCCCTTCCAGATGGTAGGCAGCTATGGGACCGGGCAACAACTGGAATGTGTGGAGCCACTCTCCAGACTAGAAGTGAATAGATAGACTTGTTGTAGAGTTGGGTGGAAGAAATCTTCCTTCAAAGACACACGAACAAAAGTGAGTGTGTGTGTGTGTGTGTGTGTGTGTGCGCGCGCGTGTACACGCACACACATTTCTGGTAGCATCTCCTTTTACATTTCAGAGACTTACTCTAGGTTGTTTTCCAATTCTTACCAGTGTAAGATATCCTAATAGCAGTGACAGGAATGTTGGAAACCTTTAAGGATTTGGTTTGAAGAAACTTGAAAACATCATCACTAAGATCTTCAGAGGTCAGTTTCTGAAGGACCTTTCTTGCATGTGGCCCTGCAACTCCAAGGACACCAAGCTCATCAGTTATGTTTTTAATTTCAACATCATATCCACCTTTGACTGCTTCTTCTTCAATCCATCTGTATTTGAGTCAAAAACATTGTGTTAAATATTGCTTGAATAATGCATTTTGGTAACATTATTTCTCTGAAGACATGATTTGTGTCTAGAATTATCAGAAAGTCCCCATAGTGTTATTTCATAAAATCACCTGATTTTTAAAGCTGAGGAATCCAACTGTCTGAGATGTTGAAAGTGATTCTCTTTAAATCAGCCACTTATAAATTTGGGGATAATTTTACACAGTACAGAAGGATCCTTCCATTTAAATGAGCTTTGCCACACAGTTCTTTTAAATAGTGACAGACCTATTGTATTTAAACTAATGAGTCAATCTTCAAAAAATTAATTTAAATCCAAATTTTCTTTAATGCCTGTACACAGGAGGCACACTTGTGTTGCTGAAGGTTAATAATGTGCCTGCCGCCAGACACATAATTGCTCTGTCAATCAAAAGGAAAAGATAAAAACTCTAGTTTCAATTTCTAAGTCTTGATGAGTTATTGGAACCCAGCTATAGGGCTGGTTTATAATCTATTGAACAGTCCCAAGAGCTATGTAAGTCTATCACAAAATGTTCATCTGGATTTACACAGGGCTAAGCTATGAAGATGGCCCCCAATACATCTTGGATTGGAGCATATAATTTGCATCACTTTACAACTAAGGTGAGAATCTGTTAGAGTGAGACATTTATTAAATAATAATATTCTTAACATTTTTGGAATATTAAACTAATGACTTTAGTAGACTGAAGATTCATGCCAAGGCTCTACTTGACAGGTCAACGATTTAGATCCAGCTATGGGCCAGAAAGCACAAAGCATCACAAAGGGAGAAGATAACTCAGGGAGGCAGCTTACTGAAGTGGACCAAATGTGGGCAACAGAATCAAAAAGACTGGCTTGAGCAAGTTACTTTAATCCAAACGTCAGTTTCCTCATCTGAAAATGGGAATAACACATATATTGCAAAATATTAGGAGAATTAATTGAGGTATTATAATATATCTGAAAGGGATACTGGCACATTGATTATGCCTAATAAATAGGAGTTAATATTATTAGAACCAGTCAACCCTATAGATAGACTACCATGGTGGGGGCGGGGGCCCTCACTTCGAATATTTTCCTATAAAAGACATGAAGTTTATTTGAAATGACCATGTTTAAGAATAATTAAAGGTGTACTTTCAAGTACTGGTAAAAGAAAAACTCAGTGTAAGATTGAGTCAATATAAAATATGTACAAAATTTTCTTACTTGGTGTGCACTTACCTAAGATCATGAAGTTCTGATCCAGAACCAGTTATTAACAGAAACTCCCCAGGAAACTGGTGAGAAACAGTCAACTCAGCATATACTTGACCTTTTGGTGTTAACATGTGACTTATATTTGTAAAACCAACCTACACAAAGAAATTTAAATTTACCATAGGATGAAATAAAAATCTTATGTGTCCTTTTAACACACATTTAAATAAAAATGTGGGTGTTAATAATAAAAATCATCTGACTCTTATCATTTTTCTCAATTGTATGAACTACGTATAAACCTAAATCCAAAATTAATTTGAAGTTCTCAAACAATCATTTAAAATTATTTGTCATAAAAATTACACTTCATTTAATCACAGTCAATTTTAAGTTCCCATTGATACAATTAAGCAAAGTCATAAGGTCTTTGGATGATAATTCACTTAACAAAAATTTAAATTTGAAAATTAGCTTCTGTACTTTTGGTCAGTTGAAGAGTTCTAGCATTCACACAGAAATCATTAGGTGAACTAAAATAACGTATTGGTTTGTGGGGAAAAAATGAGAGGATGGAGAATTAAATAGGTCAGAATCCTGGACCTTGTATCCCTAACAAGGCTATTTACCTTTGGAATGACATTTGCAAAGAGACGGTCCAACAATCTAATGGAATCTCGGCCTTTGATGTTAAACTTGCCAAACGGGGACAGGTCAATCACCCCTACTCTTTGCATAACCTGTTTATATTCAGAGCCCACCGGCTCAAACCAGTTTGTGCGGCGAAAACTTGGCCTGAAACACAACGTTTAGTGTCCTAAAACTGTCATTTATTTTTTAAAAATTACAGAATAAGGATATTTTAATAAACTCTACTCATCTGGAAAATCCCACTAGGGAAGACAACATGCAACCTAAAATTCTGTTCTGCAGAGTATACGTGTATGTATGTTGGAATCTGACCGTTTAAAGTTACTCGTCTATTCCTTTGACCTATTTTATAGGGAATGAAGTATGAATTAACTAGAAAACAAGATAGAGCATGTGGTCTCCCAGATCTGGAAGAGAGTTTAGAAGTCAGCCAGTCTGATAGTTTTCTACCTTGGTTGCATATTAGAATCACCTGGGGAGCGTTTAAAAAATATTAGTGGTTGGGCCTAATGAAATCAGAATATCTGGGTGGTGGAGCTATTTAATCCAGTGCTTCTCAAACATTAGTGGGAATACGAATCACTCGCACTTGTTAAAGTCTGGATGCAGTAGGTCTGAGGGGGGGACCCCATAGTCTGCATTCTAACAGGCACCCAGGCAATGCCCATGCTCTTGGTTCACACCTGGGGCAAGTAAGGATCTGGTCCAATATCTTCATTTTTCACAGAAAAGACACAGAGTGACTTCCAAGGCCTTTGCATTAGTTAATAACATGCTGGGCCAGGAACAAAGGTCTCCTGACTCATTGCTAAGGGTCCTTTCTACTTTATGATGTGGACTTCTAATGCAGTATTTTAACTTTAGAGCAAGATGCTAAGTCTGCAAAATAAGCTTTCAGTAGTTTAATTATTAAAATGGTGAAAGAAACTTGGGCCAGATCCAAATAGCACAAAGTGAAGAATGAAGCTGGTATTTATCAGAGTCATTTAGGAAAGACCAAACAAACATTTGGCCACCAAATAATCTAGATTGGCTGCCTGTAGAGCCCAAATTCATTCAACAACTGGCCCTCTACTACACTTTGTACCATTTAGATCTGGTCTTTAAAAAGTCATCAAAACCTGGTTAAGGCCAGGTGCAGTGGCTCACGCCTGCAATGCTAGCACTCTGAGAGGCCAAGGCGGGAGGATTGCTTGAGGTTAGGAATTTGAGACCAGCCTGAGTGACACTTAGACTCCAGAATTTTGTAGAACCCAAGTGAATTTCTAAAAATAGAAAAATTAGCCCAGCATAGTGGCACACGCCTGTAGTCCCACCTACTCTAGAGGCTGTGGCAGGAGGATTGGTTGAGCCCAGGAGTTTAAGGTTGCTGTGAGCTAGGCTGACGCCACTGCACTCTAGCCCAGGTGACAGAGCAAGACTTTGTCTCAAAAAACAAAAAAAAAAAAGGAAAGGAAAAAAAGAAAACAAACCCCAAAAACCTGTTTAAATAAGCAAAATGACAGCTCAAAAATAAAGGTAACTTAACTGACATATTTGCAATTTGTGTTCTCTTGGATTGTAGATTCTCATGAGAAAAAATATATAATTACTATTAATCCCAAGCGCAACAGTGGCATATAGCAGTTTACAGGAATTCAGAAAACCCTTTCCATGACACACTTTGTTTTAGCTTAATCTGAAATGCTATGCAAATGATCTTTTCCCCTAATTTATCAACTGTACATATAATTTGCATGGCTCAGTGCACACACTTTAAAAGCAGTTGTTTTGAGCTATTTCATGATGAATAGAAAATCCAAAACTCTAGGTACTTTTCACTTTGTGGTTGTATACTACGTGGTTAGACCAAACATCCTAAACCACAGCAAACCTTTAGGAGCCAACTGGATCCCTGTGGGCATTTGGAAGGGGAGTGGGGTAGAAGGTTCCTCTGAGCTTCTGGTAAATGCCAAGTGGAAGAGGCTTCACCCGGGCTAGTTATGAGATTCTAAGGGCCACATGGGTCCTAGATGTGGACCAGTGTCATGTGGGCTAGAATAATGACTCCAATACCAGAAAATAATTTTTGTAGAAAAGGCTCAATGCTCCTCGGAATGGGGTGGAGCGATGGGGTGGAAGGGGGAACCGGCACTTGTGCTGTCCTACTGTTTCATCCCTCAGTCAGACCCGCAGGCAGGTTCAGTCATTCACTTACCTGTACTGAGTGTCCTGGCCTGGCTTGTAGAACCAGTGTGGTTGCTCCCAGCCCGAGTGGAACCCCATGGAACACTTAGACTCCAGGATTTTGTAGAGCCCACTGACTCGCTGAGTCGGCCTCCCGGCAAACCGTTCTTCCTTAGGATAACCAACTGAAAAAGGAAAATTGGTATGTTAAATAGCACATAACCCAAATAATAAAATATTTTGATGAAATTCAGAAAATGCAAAATACAGCACTTAAAATCCAGAAGCATAATATTAATAATATATATATATAAAATTTGTGTAAAAAACAAAGCTGTCACCTATATTGATCATCAAAGAGTAAAGTAGAAATATAGTTAGAATTTAAAACCAGTGATAGACTTCACACGTTAAATACATACATTCACATGTATTCCTTGTGGTGTCTTAGAGGCACAATGCTTTTTATAGTCCCTAACCACCCTCATCTCAACGAATAGAATAAAGAGCATCTAAAGTCAGAGATGCTACAAGTCAAATCAAATCTGTCAACACTTCGTAGACAACAGCAAATTTGCACCTTACCAGCATTGTTGAATCCATACGATTCTCTTGCTTTGGCCTCCGTGTACTGAGTTGTCGTCCATTTGCCATAGCGATTAGGATCTAATTCTATCAGGTCGAAAGGAGGTTCTCCATGCAGGATCCAGTCACTGAGATATTTCCCTACCCCACCAGCGTGGATTATGCCATATCTTTCAAATACAGAGACAGGTCACCTGTTACTAACACATGTTGTTTTCAAATAATGAAACATGACCAAACATTTTACAGGGCCCCAAAGTTGGAGTGTTCTGTGCTATTCAGAACACACAAGTAACATAATCTCTATGCTATCAACTTTTTCCTTAAAAATGACACATTTAGCATCCAAGTTAAATGTGCCTGACTTGATAGCTAGTTTGTTTCTGCAGTTTCAAGAGAGGCATACCTGCAAAATAGCTCCTTATTGGGAAAAGGCTCAATGGTCCTTGATTTCTAGCTGGTAAGGATTTTCTCTTTAAGAAAATGAGAGGTTAAGGGGAGGAAGCAAACAGGCAGATATGATTGGTACCTACCGGCCCTCTTGGGCTACGATTATCCTTTTAGGAGACCTTGTGGGAGAAACATGTGTAGAGTGTCTGTCCACCTCTTCTCAGACTCAAGTTAGTTCTGATCCCCTTAGGCAATGATCTCTGTGCAAGGAACTTGAGCCGTTATTTTAGAAGCATTTAGGCAAAGAGTCCCTCACTGGGGACTCACAGGGAGGAGGTAGAAAGGAACGCAGGCCCCTGTGTTTTGCAACTAATGGGTCACTTGGTGGGGAAGGTGGGCTTGTTTTCTATTTCCATAAGACGATGCTTTAAAAGCAAGAACATAATTGTGTCAAATAAAGGGTTTTTGATATCAGGCAGAATGGAAGGGGTTACAGTTTTACATTGGCCACGTGCAGTTCCACTCACTCTTGTCTAACAAAGGCCTTCATGGTGGGTTCATTGTGGTTTAAGTCAAGAGAAGTTTCTGAGGAATCGAATGAGCCAGGAGTCATGGGGTGAGAACCAAGAAAAGGGGCTACATAGCAGATATCAAGACACAGAAACTCAGGATCGCAGGTTCTAAGAGCATGGGAGGAACTTTACAAAGGCTAGAAATGTTAACTCATTTTCCTACAACAAGACACCAGTTTTACTATTTTATAAAAATGAATGCCTAAATTTGTTATAATAATATTTCTCAAGGAAGAAAAAAAGGCAACAATTTATACTTGCCTGGGCAGTTTAAAAAAGAAACATGGGTCATTCAAATGATCTACAACCAACCTCTCTAAATTTCAAAAAAACAGGAGAAATTATTAAGTATATACTTAAAATGTTTATTAAAGTTAGCACATTCACTTAACCAGGCCCAATGTTGAAATATATAGAACAGTTACCATGTTTGAGAGTTATAGATACTGTTTACAAGAATTGAAGCCTTATAAAGTTTTACTGACATTAATCAAGTGCTTACTATTTACCAGGTATTGTTTCCATCTACCATGTACGAGCTGATTTATTTTCTAGCAAGTCCATTTTACCAATGAGAAAATCAACCCACACATGGGTAAATGGGTCACACAGCAATAAAGACCAGATGCAGGATACACATTTGGTCATCTGACACAAAGTACACTCCTTGCTACTGGACTTCACTATCTTCACTGGTTATCAGTCTTTGTTCAGACATGACACACATGCAGATACTGTACTATTTACATCTTTGACAGACTCCCAGGGCAGAGCCAAGGTGGTACTTTGGTTTCCTGTGGTCCAGCTGCTACAACGCCATGTTCTTTCCCTTTCAATGATGCACATGAGCAAACAAATGAGGCTGAGTGTGGTTATTTGGGAGGGATTTGGGGGGGATCCTGAATCAAATCTAATTTATTTTTAAAAAGTAAATCTTTTAGAAACCAGCCCTCTAACCATTAACAATCTATATGTCAAATGCCATACAATTGAGTGTTACAAAACATCTCTTAAGAACCCCTGGCTTAGAAGCTAAAAGTATAACAGCATGGACCTGGGTATGATTCCTGTTCTGCCACTGTTAGCTGTGTGACCTTGGGCAAGTCATATAACCACCCTGAGCTTCAGTCTTCTCATATGTACACTTTCTTTATGGTGTTGGTGGAGAATTAATTGTCATGGCATTTAAAAGCATTTAGTACACTGCACGGCACATAGTAGGCAAGCAATACATGGTGGCTATTGGGCCCTAATATGACCAATAGCAGAATTAGGTTCTTCTATCTTTAGCATTAATCTGAAGAACCAGATTCTTCCGAATGACCTCAGGCTGCTATGCTTTTTGAGTGTTTGTGTCTGCTTTTTATGATAACTCTGTTAAACTATCAGATGTTACATCTTAGAGCACTCTATTCTCTTTAAACTTGCTGTTTATAACCTATTCTAAATCAAGAAAATCAGATTCAATCCAATACAATTCATAAAACATTTTTGGGGCATTGCCTTAATCACCTAGAAGCAGAAAAACTTGTTACAATTGTGACAAAACAAATGTCCAAAGTAAAATAGCTTTGATTAAGGATATTCTATGAGTAAGGTAAATGAGCACTGGTACATATGTAGACAGTTTGCAAATGCCTATTCCCTGGACTGGTGGTACCAAAATTACAGACAATATTGAAGCACAGATTCCTGGGCCCCTCTCCAGACCACTGAATTGGAATCTATAGGAGTGGGGTCTGGAAATGTTTGTTTGTTTGTTTGTTTTCCAATTCAACACATCTTTCATGATACTATGGACTGAATGTTTGTGTCCCCACTCCACCCCAAATTCATCTGTTGAATCCCTAACCTCCAATGTCATGGTATTTGGAGATGGGGCCTGCAGGAGTTAATTAGAGCTAGATGAGGTCATGAGGGTGAAATTCTCATGACAGGATCACTGCCCTTCTATGAAGAAACACTAGAGAGTTTGCTGTCTCTCTCTACACGCATACACAACAAGGAAAGGCCACGTGAGCACACAGGGAGAAGGCGACCATCTGCAAGCCAGAAGAAGAACCTTCCGCAGAACTCAAACATGCTGGCATCCTGATATCAGACTTCCAGTCTCCAGAACTGTGATAAAACAAATTTCTATTGTTTAAGTCACCCAGTCTATGGCATTTTGTTATGGCAGCTCAAGCAAACTAAGCTACATGGGTTCTAATGACAATAGGAATTTCATGGATAAGAGGTACAGGAGGATAAAAAATGTGCAAGTGACTAACCACATGATTGAGATGCTGCTTTTTAACATGCTCCTCAGATGATTCTGCTGCTCACCCAGATAGGAGAACCATTGGCCTCCAGAACCATGGGATGGATACACTGATGGAGGCCAAGAGGGGCAGCCAGTGTGGGTATTCCATCATTTTACATAAGAAATGTCTTAGAAACCTTGACTTTTAGGTCATGGGAAGGTTTTTCTGGTTTAGACCAAAACCTGTCAGAGAGTGAGGCACTTTGCCCACCTCCCTCCTCCACCTGTCATCTTCTCCATCCACCTCCCAATATCTACAACTTGGAAAAATTAACCAGAACAATCAGAGCAGGAGTTTGACATCAGACCCATGCAAGTAGATACAATTCCTAGATAATAAGTAACTGGTGTTCTAATGGGAGCACCTTCCTAATTTCCTGGGCAATTAGTTATTAGGTATCCCACATGAGATCAGTGACACTGTCACTTGTTCACAGCTCAGAACATGGCTCATAGTCCGTGATCTTTACTTTCTATTACTAAAAGCCAATTGCAATATCACAAAGAATAAACTACTTAGGAAAAAATTAACAAAAGAAGTGCAAAACATATGCTCTGAAAACTACAAACCATTGTTGGAAGAAATTTCAAAAGATCTAAATAAATGGAAAGGTATCCCATGTTCATGAATCAGAAGACTTAACATTGCTAAGATGGCAATACTCCTCAAGTCGATCCACAGATTCAAGGCAGTCCCTATCAAAATCTCAGCTGACTTCTTTGCAGAAATTGACCAGCTGGTCCTAAAATTTATATGGAAATTTAAGGGACCCAGAATAGCTAAAACAATCTTGAAAAAGAGCAAAGTTGGAGGTTTTACACTTCCTGATTTCCGAAGTTACTACAAACCTACAGTAATTAAGACAGTGTAGTACTGGCATAAGAATAGACATAGATGAATGAAATAGAATTTAGAGTCTAGAAATAAACCCCTATCTCTAGGGTGAATTGATTTATGACAAGAACACTGTGATACGATAAAAAATAAATATTTGGTCTTTGTCCCCAGTTCCTGCACAGAATTCCTAAAACATTTGGAATTCATTATCTTTTGTATGCTAATGAGGTGGCTCTTTTGTGGAGGAGAGCGATCCTAGATGACTTTAGGATGGGAGATGGTTGCCAGAAAAACCAACTATGTGATTAGAAAGTTAGAACTTTCAGTCCCACTCCCTACTCCAACCTCCAGGGAGTGGAGAAGGGCCGGATATTGAGTTCAGCCATCAATGATATAATCAATGGTGCCTACATAATGAAACCTCCATAAAAACCCCTAAGGATGGGATTCAGAGAGCTTCTGTGTTGGTGAAATATTTATGTTCTAGGAAGATGGTGTGCCTGGAAACGGTGTAGTAGCTCTGCACCACACTCTTCTCCCCGACATTTTGTGCTAGGCATCTCTTCCATGTGGATGCTCCTGAGTAGTATCTTTTATAATAAGCCAGTAAACGTAAGTAAAGTGTTTTCCTCAGTTCTGTGAGTCATTCTAGTGAATTATTGAAACTGAGGAGAAGGTTGTGGGAATGCTTAAAATCATAGCCAGTTGGTCAGAAGTATGGGTGGCTCCTGAGACTCGAGACTGGTGTCTGAAGTGGGAGCAGTATTGTGGGACTGATCCCTTAACCTGTGGAGTCTACACTAACTCCAGGAGTTGGTGTCAGAATTGAATTCAATTGTGG